ATAATGTAGATTATGCCTTGTTCTAGCAATTTAGGCACAGAAACCTCTTTTCCTGAATTTTCTTTAGATGATACAGGAATAGAAGGAAGTGTCATTCTTGAAGTGAGTGAGCATGTGCCAGTAGCTTGGTTTTGAAAAACTGAGCTCTAGTGCAGTGGGAGGAAACCTAGAAATTATACATCAATTAATCTGGAGGAGGAGAAATTAAAAGTGTCAGAGGTTTTCTAATAGCAGAATTCCCTCTGAAATATAAAAGTGATTGGTCAAAATAGGCTTGCAGAATCAGGAACTGTAATCCATTACTGTCTCTTAATACAAAACAATTATTTTGGAATTAGCAAAATACGGCAGAGGCCTACTCATACAAAAACCTCATTCACATATCCATGAAAATCAAGATGCAAAATACCATATAGTGTCTGTTTGGCAGAGATGGATAGAGGGAGTCAAAGAGGAAGGAAGAGTCACTGACAGTTTAGAATTAGTTTTGTTAATTTTCGAAGAAGGCAAGACTGGGTCTTGTGTGTTTAAGCAGTGAGTAAAGGGTCTGTAGTGTGCAGTACAACAGCTTGCTCTGACTGTGCCCTGCATCTGTCACTCGAGAAAAGAGGAAAAAGAGTCCCTCTAGTGTACCAATGCTGTAAGCAGTACTGTCTTGCTCAGTTCACTAAATCTGCTGCAAGTTCTGCTATGGCATGTAATCAAGTGCCTAAAGGTATTTTAGTAAACCCTGGGCTCTGTTGATCACAAGGTTTCTAGTTCATGAAGGAAAGAACAATAGACAATCATAAAAAATGAGCATTTAAAAATGACCATGTATTTTCACACATTTTTGCTATGAAGCAATTTGGTTTTGTATGTCTGTATGATTCCAAATACTAGGTTTTGCTACCCAGGAAATACATATTCTCCTGGTAGACAGGAGAGAAATTACTTCATACAGTAATACTGTTTTCACAAGTTCTTAGCTGTGTATCTGTGAGGTAAAATCAAGCACATTATCATATTCAAAACTTATTTTTCTTTTATTATTGTTTCAATTAAACAGGGAAAATCTACTGCAGTTAAAGGTATTCAGTGTTATACTTTCCCTGGCTGCCAGAAATCCAGTGTGCAACTCAAACTCAGGCATTTTACCACTTTGAATTTGCACTGTCAAAGATTAAGTGATAAATCAGCCTCCTCCCTGTGTAAGCACTCTCTCAATGATTTTAGGTACAGCAAAGCAAGCCTGGCAAACCTACAAACCTTCGTGACAGGTGCTGCAGGGGCATGCATGTAGGAAGGCATAGCTGCCGTAGATAGCTGTGACTCCATAAATATTTTCCTCTCAGGTATGCTGAAGGAGGGCCATGGATAAAAAGTTTCAAAGGAGACCAGGAGGTCTCTGTTGGAGATACAGCACAGCTGGTTGGTAAGCAGTATTAGTAATTCTGTCTTTCAATAATTTTCCTCAAGATGTTCATGCTAGAGCAGACCTGGCAAGTCAAGTTCCCTTTTGCACTCTGCTCTCCATCTGAGTCTGCCCTGTGGCAGATTAGGCACTATCTTGCTCCCTCACCTTTTTGACTGCTGACAGGAGAGCTAAATCACCTTTTCTGCAGCAAAGGAAGTGTGTGTTTTCAGGGGAGGGAGTGAGTAAGGGGAGTGGGAGATATGAGGGAGATAATTCCTCAGAGTAAGTAAAATTACAAAATGGGACCAGCATCTTTCACGAGATGGCCAATGGAAGGCCTGAAGGACAAGAAGCAAAGATGAAACAGTGCTCAGAACCAGTTGTGCAGCCCGTACAGACATGATAAAGTAGATTTGGCTGAGGGAAAAGGTCTCCAGCTCTTCAGAGGTAAGGGCAGCTCCAGCAGTAGCAGAAGAGGCTCTTGAAGCTGTTCAGATTAACAATGGTGCTGTAATTTATGCAGAGGCATTAGCTGTAGGGATGTTGTTTTACATTTTAGATAGTAGGTTGGCATTTCCTGGAAGTGTAGGTTAATGACGGTAAAAAGAGTGGTATTGTATATCTCAATTTGGGAGGAGGGAGCCCTTGCAGCTCTGCTGGTGTTGTGTGCAAGCCACTGGTTGGTTTATTGGTGTGTAAGGGTGCAGCAGACTTGTGTGCATACAACACTGTGCTTATTTGCATTCTGCAACAAATGTCTATGTCAGTGTCTCTGCTAATAAAAACCTGTTCAGTGCTAATTGCCAGGTTTCATTACTTAAATGAGTTAAAGGAATTTAAAAAGTCTTTGTGCATACCCAATTCAGAAAGGCTTCTCCTGAAGAAAAACTGTAAAATAGACATCCTTAACTTTCCTTTCAAATTCATGTGCAGTATTTGATTTTAGCGTGTCTGTTTTCCTGGAGACAGCTGAGGCAATCTCCTCTACTCACTCGCCCACTTACCAGTTGTACTTTGAATTGCTTGTGATGATATGGATGTTGATTATGGCCTTCACAATACTGCCTGGTTTTTCCATAGAATTGTCATGGAGGAAGAGACCACAGCAAATTCTCAGCTGGCTAGAAGGCAGCCCAAGGTATTAGTTCAGTGTATTTTCTTTCATGAGTAAGAAGCAGATAAGATTTCAGCTCAAATGGTGCATTTTATTTATGTTTAAAATGAAATGCATGGCAGATGTTGGAAACAACATTTCAAGTACTCCTTTCTCCTCCTCCCAGAGGCAATGTTTTATTGTTAATATTGTATATCTTTCTAAAAATGCTTGATCTGAAAAATTTGTTATATGCCAAAATATTTTGTTGTCCTAGGAACACTTCTGGATCCCCATGCATCTATTTACATGTGAATTGTACTTATTTCTAATTTTTAAAATATGTATCAAAATTTACTAAGTTTTTTCTTAGCATTTAAAAAAAATAATTGTATTATAAAGACTCAAAGAATGCAAAGTAAGCTGGATACTCCCTACCTATCTCACTCCCTCAACATACATTTAATTTATTCTATGCTTCCATGTGTGTGCACATATGTACACACATACACATACATATGCACATAAACATGTGCTCCATCACATTCCAAACACTTCTGGATGTTGAATCTTGAAATTCTGGGGTAGGAGACTGGCAAGTGCCTACAATTAGAATATTGTTGATATTCTCACATTTCATTGACCATAAAAGCTAAGATCAATATTTTCAATGCCTTTAAAAATGAAATAATAATGTCAAAACATTGCCAGGAAATTATTGAAATGAAAAGGGTGTGTTAGGTTAAGCATAGAGACTAGACTGGGGTTTTTTCTGCATTTTTGCTTCTAACATCTTTTGGAAAGTGTGTTGTTTGCACTAGTAACTGAAATGCAATTTGAGGAGGACAGAAAGATGCACTAATATTTATATGAAGCTGTAATACAGCAAAAAGTATATGGGCTGTTATTCTACTATATTGCCAGAGGACTATATTGATCTTCAAAGGGTTAAAGTGCTACGAGGTTACATTAATGTCACCCTTCAGCAATCACTGGCCAATAACGTATCAGCAATCAATGCTGCAGCATGTCGTTCAGGACACTCAGTTTTTGGAGACAAGTGGCTGATATATTTTGACAAGAATAAAAAATAGTCTTGGAAATTCTTGCAAATCTTAACTCAGAGAGGAAGATACATGAAACAAACTGCTTCCATTCAAAAAAAATGGTAATGTTTCCCTTCCTAAGTAACAACATTTTATGTCAGTTCAGTGGAGCAGTGAATGAACCAAAATTCTGCTAACCTTCAAAATGGAAAGGATTCTGTAAGTAGGATTTACATAGTCTGAATATTTAATATTTTGAGTGCTCATCACAGATCACATAAACTAATACTTAAATATATATTTCCAGTAAAGAAAGCATTTGACTTCTGCTGGAGTAAAGCAGTGAGATGTTTTGACTTGTGAGTACAGACACAGGTTTCTCAGCCCCTGATTCTTTTTCTCCTGTTAGAAATTTTTTCTATTGAGTTCTCATAATCTCTGCAAATCCAAAGACAGCAACACAAGCCACTTCACTTTAACACAAAAGAAACTTAAAAAAAAAAACAAAACAAACAAAAAAATAAACAACCCAAGAACTCAAAAAGCCACAAAGTAGAAGTATAAAGGGGGGAAGCAAAATTAGAGGCTGCAAGAGGACACGAGGGGTTAAAGTTCTGACCACTGTCTGCATATATAAAATCATATCACCTTATCTGAAAAGTTTAGGCTCTAAAGAAAACACTCTGCTTAAAATACCTTTTAGGTATATTAAATCTTTAGGCTGAAGATTACAGCAAGTGTTTTCTCTTTAGTGAGTAGCTGTTTGTCTCACTTTATTTACTTGGTATTGGGTATTTGTCAATGTCATTTCATATCTGCAGAAAATTCATACGTTCTATGGAAGTATGTATGTGTGTGAGAGTGCTGAAGGTCACATGACTATTTCATCCTATTTGGTGGAGCAGCTTGACTTTTTTCCCTTGCTTTTGGTGATGGTTGTGAGTGCAGAAGTTGATTGACAGATGCATGCCAGAAACCCCCATTCTCCTTTTCAAAGACTACATATGATGGATTGCGATCTTTCAGCTCAGCAGGACACAGGGACCATGCAAGCTGTAATTGGTCAGGTATGGAGTCAGCCATTTCTCAACTCCTCTTTTATTTTTTTTTTTTTTCACAAGGGTCTAACCATATGATTCACATAATTCATATTTACAGTACCATCTTTCTATCTGTATCTTCAGCTACCAGCGAGTGTAGTACTGAAAGTGAGAAAGGCAAAAGAAACACAATAATCTGGCCAGGGAATCATTAGAAAAAACAAAATTACCATCCTTTTCTTCTAATAAACCCCATTTCAGTCTCAGCTTTACCAAATCAAAGTATTTATTAATTTGTTGTTTTATTTTGTTTAAATATGCTGAAGTAGAAGAAACGAGGAGTGAAAATGTTATGTTTGCTGAGGAGTTCTTTCTATTTGTAATGCTGTTCATTATTTTTATATTGACTGTATTCCTGTACTAGATGCTGTGGTTTTTATTTTTCATTTTTATTTTTTCTTCTTATACTTCTAATCCAGATAATGTGTGATTGAGCCTGGTAAATGTAGTAGTCTTTGCTACTGCAGAGGGGCAGCCTGCAAATTAAACACTGCCACAATCTGAAAGGTCCAGGTGGTCTGCTCGTGCTTCCTAATGCAATCCAGCACAACAGCTTTAATAAACAGCTCTATTTAGTTCTCCCTCCCTGTATCCAGGGAAGTGAACTGGGGCTGCTGTGATGAAATGCCAGAAGAATATCTCTCAAAGGCCTCACAAGCTGATTTTTAGAGCTTTTCCGTTTTGTCGTCTTTGTCTTCCAAATGGGTCAGTGAGTCCTTCTCTTTCTGTTTTGTGATTTCTGATAAGTCTGTAGTTTTTATATGTGTGATTTAACCATGCTGTTTTGAGCGTTAGCCAGAAGAGAGAAAAAATCATTGTCTTTTCATTTGCTTCAAATAATAACCTGAAGTGGGGAAAGAAATTATTTTGTTCTGATGAACAGGGAGGGCTGTTTCCCTGTGAAAGCAGTCAGAGTCAGATGAGGGTGCCTGTTTTTCTTTTTCTAACAAAATTTTAAGTGCTCAACTCTTTCTCATTAACCACTGACTTGTAAATCATTCTCTGGTAAAGGGTATTATTTGAACTCTCAAAAGTTTGTGTTTTTTTGCATATGTTTCCAATATAGTGAACGCATGCTGCTGAGATGATGACATAGTATTTGTTTTCTATATGTTGATATAATGGTAGAAAAAGACACATTCTATACATTGTTTTGATCTAAATTATGGCAAAGCACTGAAGTCCCTCAAAGCACATGGTTTATTAATAACATCGTACATAGTAATGCATTTTTGGGTAGAAAATGTCAAATATGTAATGCCATGTTTACCACAGACTTTTATTGCTTTAAATATTTTAAAAATAGAAGATACATTTTTTATTAAAAATCCTCCAAACATTCACAGCTTTCTATTAGGCTGGCTTATACCTAAAAAGTGGGGCATGCTTGCCAGTACTACATTGTACAAAAAGATGTATTTTAGACTGTGTTAATTACCTTTTTGTTTAACTTGTTCAGTCTTACAGAAATATATTTAATGATTCTAAGGCAGATACAATGGCAAGGTTTTGAGCAAGTACACTTGGAAGAAAATGTACCCTGAAATCTTTATAAATCTAAAAGCTTGTATTATCTCTTTAATATAAATTTTGTTTTCACATGTAAGAAAGTGTAAGTTAGCTATTTTATGTTTAAGGCTTGCCAACTCTCAAAAAGTGGTTCTGAGGCTGGCAATGGTAGAGGGATTTTTTTTTTCTGTGTTTAACATTCCATATTTCATGAATTAAAAAAAGTTCAGTAAACATCTGGAAAAATGTTTATATCATATGATCATTTATTTAATTTCCTAAAATTAATAGTAAGAGCATGTACTTAAAAGAAAAATAAATTTAGGTATTTTAGGTGACTAACTTCTGTGGGTTTTCTGTGTTAGACTTTATAGATATTATTTTTCTGAAACTTACTGTCTTAAGTGCTGCAAGCATTTTTTTCAGATCAGCATGTGTGCATATTTACATTTCATGTATGTGTGTGCATATCAAAATGGGTTCATAAATCCACAAAATTTTCATGTTTTTGTTTTGATTAGTTATCCAGGGTTTGGTTGTTATTAGCTATGTGTTAAGATAGAATAAAAAGTTTAATTTTTTTTTTCTGATAAAAAGTTATGGATTTTCTGGTTGTATAATAAAGGAGTTAGTTAAAATGTGGGAATCTCAGGGCAATCAGTATAATTACCATACTTTGCTGGAAATAGACAGACTTTCTGTAAGTACTTTAAGAGAAAATACCTATCAAAAGGCAAGCCCTATGGCAGAAAATCTTTTCATATTTTAAGTCTCTATTTTGTATTGATAAATAGTTAAGGTTTGCATATTTAGTAGCTGCATAGTTTTAGAATAGACATTCATTTCTTGACACTATTAGAAAAAGTTCTTAAAAGTCTTCGTTAACTTTCAAACCTCCAAACCCAAAAAAATTGGAAAAATGTTTATAATTTGGCCTTTTTATATCAGCATTGCATTTTTTTTCCTGCCATGAGGAAAAAAATATTTTTTACTAATCCTGCAGATGTAGCTCTAAATTCAGTCCTATTTACTGCTAATGGAATTTGAACTTGCCTAATTAAAAATCCAAACTGTACATGTATAGCTGATGCAATAGAGATCAGACACACTAGCACTTTTTTTGTAGTTCAAGCATTAGTCTGTGTATGACACAAATGGAATAGCAGGAGCATACTGATTTAAAGGCATTTTCAACACCAAGTTCTTGTTCATCATTAAATGCATTTTTTACTTAAAAAAAAAAAAAAAATCTGGATTTCCTCTGTCTTTAACCACCAGTCCACAGCGATTCCCACTGGTGATGGCAATGGTGTGCAGAGTGCTACAACTCTGACTGTTACCCAGCACCTGCGTGTACTGGGTCCAGGGTGCAGAATTCCTTGTGAGCCTTCCCTCTGGATTTTTTCTCCCCCAAGCAAGCAATAAAACAGCCAAGTACTCTGAAGAACAACCTCCTTGCCTTGTGTGTCAAGATCTAGAAGCTCATTGCTCATTGTGATTTTGATTCATAACTGGAGTGTTTGGCAGGAAACCCTGATCCCTGCCAGCAATAGTCTGTAGCATCCTTCCTTGCATGCCAAAGTGCAATATCCATTATTTCTTCAATTGTGTTTTGCTCTTATAGAAACTATTAGCTGGATTTTTATGCCATATTTCCTATATGTCCTGAGCCCATCTGAATGAACAGGTAATTAAATGTGTCATCTAATTATTCCAATGACGTTGTAATTTGCCTGCCTTGTATGCTTTCTAAAACCTCTACTATACCTTTTTCTTCTTCTTTTTTATCTCCTTTTTTTTTTTTTTTTTTTTTTTTTTTTTTTTTTTTTTTTTTTTTTTCTCTCAGACCTGAGCTTGTGAGTGACAGGTTAGTTCATCAGCATTACAGCCCTCCTGTTTTTGTCTCATCTCATGCAGACAGGTCACTGTGTCCAATCACCCTTCTGGCTCTGCTGTCCCCGGGGAGCCCAGGCCAGCCCTGCCATCTTGATCCGCCAGCCTCAGGGCCCAGGCTGGCTGCACATTTCTGTGTTCACTGCTTCCTGCAAATATAGTAAAGTGGGAAAGGGGAGGGGAGCAGCTTAAATTAGATCTCTGTATATCCAGAGGAAGCAAATTAGGTAACATTCTTCTTCAAATAGGCACGAGTTTGCAGTTATTACTGCTATGTTTGAGTTCTCTTTCTACAAGTTTAGCATGTTTATTTCTGTATTTCAGTGGTATCCTCCATATGATCTCACCATGTAGTAAATGCTGTTTATGCAAGGGTAAGCATGCTCTTTTCCCACAGAGAGTTCTATGAAGCCCAGTTTATTAATCTAATACATTGCTGCAGCCAGTGTGGGTCTTTCTGTTCTGTTTCATTTTGTTGCCACTTGAAAAAAATTTTTGGTATTCTTCCTCATGATTAACCACAATAGAACATGTTTCAGAAAAGCCATTCCTTTTCTAACTTTTGGTCACTTTTCAGGAGTTTAATCTGTTGTCAGTGTTGTTTTTATAATGCAAGTGGTATCCAGGAGCTTAATTTTTACCAAATTAAGATCAGATCTATAATGTTATTTTGTCTTGAGCAGTCTCTACATGATTTTTCTTGTAGCAGTAGAGAAATTCTTTTTTTCTTGTAATTATCTGTTTCCAGCTATAATCTAATATAAAGAATTGCCTATAACATATACAAACAGAAAATAACCATATGTAAAATTAGGACCCACTTTTGTAAGACAGCAAGGAATTGTGCCATTTTGTCTGCAGTTTGGGACAAATTGTGTTCTTTCAAGTTAAGAAGTAGACCCATCACTGCAAGAATGTCTACTTGCATAAGTAAGACCAGACTACTTGTCCCCTTGGCTGCTCACTGTATATCCAGAACAAACATTGTAGTCCTTTACAGTCACCAGCAGAGGTTTTCTGCAGTTCAGGACTGTGAGGGAGAGACATATGAACAGGTACACATTGACTGTTTTTTTTCAGTAGTAGAGAGACAATGTAAACAGTGAGAAATATGTTTGAAAAACTTCAAAATCATACTTTTTAATATTTATGAACAAGCTGGTACTCTGATAATGAAGCATTCCATCTTTGTGGAAACCCACTGTTGTACACACTCCCTAGAATATTGTGTTCCTAAGAATTATTATTGTAAGGAGATGCAGGAATGTGGCTGTAATATTTTACAGCATAAGTATTTGTTGTAGAGGACTTTGGATCTTGTTAAATTAATACATGTAAATTCTTTGGTCCTAGGCCTGGATTCCAGTAAAAGAATGCATTTTTCTGTTGACTTCTGTTTTTACAGCAGAAAAGATGAATTTTTATCAAATGATTCATACTTAAAAAGATTTTTCTTCTTTTCACACCAAAATTGGATTTTAATTGAAATCAGCTTTCTAAAAACATCTTTAGTAGTTTCCTTTTATTTTCTCTTTTCTGTTCTGTACTACTGTGTGGTTTCATCTGTGGGTCAGGCCAGCCAATTAAGAGGTCAAATCTTAAAAAAGCTGTGATTTGTACTCTGTGTATATTCACTATATTCTAATTGTAAGAGAAAAATGAAGTATGTCAGATGACCTTTAAATTGCTGGACAAGTGACACTCCTCCAGTGATGTAGATTATTATCTTTTGACAATGCATTTACATTCAAGTACCTCTGTTATGTTTCCTAGATTCCAGACTGATAAACTAAATATCAGTCTGGCCCACTTTTGTGTGTACAGTGCATAGAAGTGACTGCTGAGTCTCTTATCTTACAGTGACCTGTAGCTGTAACAAGACTTTTATTTTTCTTCTCTGATCTTAACTGCAACTCAAATGGAAGAAAATAAAAGGACAATCAAACAGAAATTGTATATAGCACTTTCAACATTAGATGAAGATATGGTGAAATATCAGTTTTTTCTGTAATTTTCATTGTTCAGCAGCATTAGTAATGTAGCTTTTCATTCTGAAATTCTAAAGATGGAAGAACCTCAGATCAGGCAATTTTGGATATATGCATGTTTATCTTTCACTAAACAACTATACTTAAGCATGTACTTAAAAGGTGGTCAGCAAATCACTCAAGGCCTCAAGAAGTCTCCAATTGCTAAAGCTGCAAGTGCACAGAGTGAGTCTGAATGATGCTGATATATATAACAATTGGCAGGATCCTGTGCAACAAGCCTATTGTGTTACTGCTAATAAATATAACAAAGTC